TACTCCTGGTTCGACGACTATGCGAGGAGCAAGTGCAAGCGCATTGTGCGCATCGAAAAGGTGGCTGCGGATATCATCAATCGCTTGGGAAAAGACTGCGATGCCTCGACCCAGACGGATAATGACGTGTTCGAGGAGGTCTATGATGAGTGGATCAAAGAGTTCGATGCCTCTATCATCGAAGCCATTCATAACCCCGAGGTGGTGGCCTTCAAGTCGGTCATCTGCTACCGCACCGGTCTGGACGTACTCGCCAAGCCCGACGAGGAGGCGGCACGCCGCGCCTTCCAGGAAATCATTGCGAACTTTGCCCTCCTCGACTTTGAGCGTCTTCAGGAGGTCAGCCTCAACGATCTGGTGGTGCACCGCACGGCAACCTTGATCCAGGACAGCACTCTCCGTCATAAAAAACCGATTCAGTTCCACACCGGCCTTGGGGATAACGACATTACGCTGTCCAAATCGTCGCCGTCCCATCTCCAGGAGTTCATCCGTGCCTATCCCAAGGTTCCCATCGTGCTTCTCCACGCAAGCTACCCCTTTACCCGCGAGGCTGGATACTTGGCGTCTGTCTACGAGAACGTCTATGCAGACATCGGTGAGGTGTTCCCAGCTGTCAGCCAGGACGGCCAGGAACGCGTCCTGCGTCAAATCTTGGAACTCTGCCCGTGGTCCAAGATCCTCTGGAGCAGCGATGGACATTGGTTTCCGGAAACATACCTGCTGGCGAACATGCAGATGCGCGAAGTGTTTCAGACGGTAAGTTCACTCGTTACCAACCGGAGCTTGGCTGATTAGAGACAGGTCCTGTGCGATTATGTCCGGAAGGGACATATTGGCTGGAGAGCGGCCATCGATCTCACGCGCGACGTGCTGTTCAGAAACTCGAACAAGCTATATCGTCTGGGCCTCGAATTTTCCGAGCTGGAGGAAGAGTCAGACATCGAAGTCGGCCCGTATCTGACGGATGCCGAACTGTTCCAGAACTACCTGAAGAATCAGGATGAACCCGATTTTGTGAGGATCTGTTGGCACGACTTTACGGCACAGTCGCGGATGCGTATGGTCCCGTTCCGCAAGTTTATGTCTCTCCTCCAGGACGGCAAATCGACCGACATTGGCATTGCGAAGGCCGCCCTCGGTATGATTCAAAACGACAGGCTGCTCCCTACGGTGACCGCGACCGGCGAGTACCGGCTTCACCCAGACTTCTCTTCGCTCCGGAAAGGTCCGGTCGAAGGTCATGTCAGCATGTATGCCGAGTTCCGCGAGAAGTCGGGCGCACGCGTGTCGTTGTGTCCGCGATCCCTGCTTCAGCGTGCCGTTGAGTTTGGCGCAGAGCACAACCTGACTTTCCTTCTGGGCTTTGAGATTGAATTCCTTCTCGTGGAGCGTCTCAACAACGGAAATACCTCTCGTTATGGAACCATCCCCACGGACGGACATGCGTGGTCTGTTTCTCGCTATTTTGCCGACCCCAGAGTCTCCAAGCTTCTCCGCGACATGGTATCGGCCCTGGACGAGATGGGCATCTACACGGAACAGCTTCATGCTGAGAGTGCTAATGGCCAATTTGAACTGATTCTGCCTCCGTACCCCCCTGTTCAAGCCGTCGACACTCTCCTCCACACACGCGACGTCCTGAGCGCCCTCGCCACGGCTGCCGGATTTAAGATCACGCTGCATCCAAAGCCTTTTGCGCATGCCCCTGGCACCGCTTGCCATACGCACATGTCTATTTCGTCCGAGGACGGGAACCGGCCGGCCCAATACGAGTCGTTTTATGCCGGCATCCTCAAGCACCTGCGCGCCATCACTGCTTTTACGCATTCCAATCCTGCGAGTTTTGAGCGGCTGGCCGACAGTGTCTGGGCCGGTGGGAGATGGGTTACCTGGGGCACGCAGAACCGTGAAACGGCGCTACGCAAAGTTGAGGACAGCCACTGGGAGCTAAAGTGCATGGACGGGTTGGCCAACCCCTACTTTGCCATGGCGGCGGTGCTGTTCGCGGGAATCAACGGCGTGATCAACAAGGAGAAGCTGGTGTGGCGTGACTGCGAGATTGACCCGGCGAAGTTGACGGACAATGACCGCATGGAGCTCGGTATCACGGACATGCTGCCACTGAGCGTGGAGGAAGCCTTGAATGTACTCCGCAAGGACGAGGAGCTTGTGGGCTATTTGGGGGCGGACCTCGTGGAGCGTTATATCCAGCTCAAGGAATTCGAACTTGGCTTTTTGGGGGAGATGAGTGGGGAGGAGAGACGGCAGTGGATTATGGAGCGATATTGATTAGGTTCTCCATGGACGAGAAAGCGGATAGTTGGGGTCGATGTTGGCGTCCAGTTTGAAAAGACAGCGAGATGTTATAAGACTACAGTAGAAGCTATGCTATAAACTTTGGCCCGGCAACGCTTACTGATTCAAGGTGAGTATTGGGGTGTTTGGCATATCTACATGCCACATGCAAACAGGTAGACAAACGACAATTAAAGAGATAGGGGAGTTTGACTTATCGAGGGGTAACCCGTACCGCAAGAGACTTAGTCGAGGTCGACACATAGACAGCAAGGTACTACATTGAATAGTAGATTAAGCTAGGTACGAATTCAAGAATAAACCAGGGGCAGATTAAATATCGCTTTTCCGGTCGACCGTTCGCACAGAATACATGGCCAATTCCCACATCACTCCCAGACACAAATATCTGCAAAAACAGGACAGAGAGAACCAACAACCCCTGAACACCTTTCCCTCGGGTGGAATCAAGAACAGATACAGATAAAAATCATGACATTCCCCCAAGAGGTGTAATTTTATATAGGGATATACACAATAACAATAGACCGACACCCGGGCCCCCTCACAAAGAACAGACACCGTCAGTCACCCATTTTTTTGGTCTCAATCAATCATCATGAAACGCCCCCCCCTTCTTACTACTCCCCAACATCCCCTCGCTGCGTCCACTGCGCCGCCTCTTGCCGAGGACATCCACGAGCCAATCCGACAGACGATAGCCCCAATGGCCAGCGACCAAAGCGCCGCTGAGGATATTGATGATCTTGATGCAAAAGACAAAAAAGGGATCGCGCGACTCGACGATATTTAACAAAATCGGCTCGATGTCGTACTTGAAGAAGATGCCGGGGATCGTCTGCTCGTTGACCTCGCGCGACTGCTCCGTCACGGCGTACTGGTTCGTCACGACGGAGCGGGAGCCCATGCGCGAGGGGTCGCCTAGGCTGTAGACGGTGGGCACGACCGACATGAAGTATTGGAACTTGTGGAAGTGGGCGGCGGTGGTGTCGACGGTCCCGTCGAGCGGGTTGGTGAGGGAGGGGAGGTAGGGGCCGAAGGAGAGTTCGGAGATGACGTGGGAGAAGTTGAAGGCTTATTTGTTTATCAGTGTTAGCACACATCTATTTTGGGTCGTAGGGTTTTTTTTTTTTTTTTTTTTTTTTTAAAAAAAAAAGGGGGGGGTAGGTGGGGGGTGCTTACAGTTGTGATCAAGATGCTCGCCAAACTCCATGTACCCGTGCCCCCTAGCGGTGATATGAAAGTCGCCCTGCACCTTGTTGAGCTCTAGACTGCCATAGATGCGACAGCTGTCGCCCTCGGCGCCCCAGAGCCGTGGCGTCTTGCCCCAGCGCGCCTTGCGGCGGCCGAGCGAGACGATGTCGTGCACGTGCTCTTCCCCGAAACCCTCGTCGTGGTCGACCGTCCAGCCCTCGCCCGTGATGCGCCGGCCGTTCTCGTCGCGGCCGAGCTTGTGGATGCCGCGCGCGTCGGCCCACTGGGCCCAGTTGGTCGGGTCGTGCTTGAGCTTGGACGCGGCCAGGATGCGGTCGCCCGCGGCGTCCTGGACGTTGACGTGCAGGTCCGCGCACTTCATGCGCACCACGATGTCGAGGTTGATGTCGAGGATGTGCGAGACGCCCTTCTCGACGGCGAACGTGTGCGTCTCGGACCCGCGCCACCACCGCGCGAGCTCTGACCAGAACAGAATGGCCGAGACTACCATCATGGCTACCGTCCACTTGCCGCCGCCGGCTGTCCGTTGTACGTATTGTGGTTTTGATTTTGCTGTAGGCTATGTGTTAGCGCATGCGGAGGACCGATCAGAGACTAAGGGGCGCATACGGAACGCATCAAAAGCGCTGACAATCCCCCCCTTGGCCGCGAACGGGTCCTCGTCCATGGCGTGCTTCTCGTCGTAGCCGTTCATCATGGCGAGGGTCGGCGAGGGTCCTCACCGCAGTGAGTACGCCCCCGGGATTGATAATTGACTCTCTGCCGTCACACAGATGTCTGCTGTCCCTCTCTCTTCCGCTCCGTCCTACGTCACAAGCTTTCCCTCCTCTCTTTGCCCCTCCGGCGCGGCCACAGACTCTCTCGAATTGTAAATCAGTGTCGCAACATACGCTTTTTATCGCCGCCGGTTAGAATTCGAGGCGCATGAAGGGTCGAGGACGATCGAGCTTCGCAACGGTGTGGCGACTTATTCGACGAAGACGCAATCGGGGGCAGCGCTGCAGCAAGTCCACGCGGGGGATACGAATTGGCCGGGGATCAAGTTGGACAAGAAAACAACAAGACGAAAAAATGTCGCAAAGGAAGAAAAGAAAAAAGATCACCCAAGGAATGGCATGAAGCTCTGTAGAGTCGCCGGGTGGACGGTTACCAGGCTCGAACAGTGGCCGGTCTCACGGTATAATTCTTGAGGACAGCTTGACCAAAACTTTGGAGAAGGCTGCGGCCGCTCTCCGCACTGCACAGTGCACACGGCCGATGCGGCTGCAGTCGACACCCCTGTACCGACACCCCTGTTCAGGGACCGATTCGCTGTCCCCGGTCCCGACGGCATGCCTAGGGTTGGGTATGTGGGGGACCATAACCCTGAATCTGCAAAAGACACTCCACATGTCTCCAGCAGCAGCACACCAACAGCTTGTTGCAAAAGGCAAAAATAACAAAAATGAAGTCTAAACTTTGACTATCTCTCCCGGTAAGGATTGAACTTACAGCCTCCAGATGAACCTGTTTTGTGCAGATAACAGTCTGACGCGCTAGCCAATTGCGCCACGGGAGATTTGAGTCGAGATGAGAGACCACTGAATCTTGGAAGCAGGTGTTCATGTCTGCGTATATCAAGGGGGGAACCATCCAGTGTTGAGGTGTTCACTGTGGTCGTGATCCTGGGGCCTCGTCTAGATTGTGCTGGCATACAACCACAGTTAGGATTCTAACGTGCTGACCTTGGAATTCTGGCAAGGTCCAATTGCACAGCCGTCACAGCTGTTATTTCTTGTTTATCGGCACAGCTGACTATACATGCACCCAACTACCATCCTCCCGACTCGTCACCACCTCATCCACATCGGCCACACGCAGCTGGAGAACCTCATCCCCGTTGACGAGATCATTCTCCACGGCGCGCCGGTCCCCGTCTTCCAGAGTAGCCACAAGGCCCGCGGCCACATGCCGCCGGGCGAGTCGGACCCTCGCGACGTCCCGGTCGACCTCGACGAACCAGCGGAGATCCATCAGGGCCGCGGCCTCGGACCAGGGTGCTCTGTCTAGCAACAAGTCTATTTCGTCTCATGTCTCAGCATCTAAACCCTGATATAACGAAAAAAAGGGGGTGGGGACGAACAGTTACCCTCAAACACGACGATGCGCTGCGTAGGCTCGACGGGAATATCGTCGGGCTTCGGGTCCTTGGCGGCATGGTCGAACGAGGGCGCATAGATGGTCCCGCTCCCGGGGGAGAGGGGATTCCGGAGGGCCCGGACCAGATCCAGAAAGCCCGGGCCGTCGAAGGTGAACTCGGCGCCCCGGCGGAAGTGGGCTGCTGCCGGGTCGGGGAAGGCGTCTAGCTGTGCTCGGCTGAGGTGGTAGCCGTCCATGGGGACGAAGGCCGCGATGGGAGGTTCGCCGGGATGGGAGGCGGCATGACGGGCGTTGAGGGTTGCTGCTATGATTTGAGAGAGTGTGGTTTTGCCTGGACAGGTTGGTGAGTTGAGTTCTGATGGGAGTGGCGTAGTTACGGGTACCTGAGCCTGGGATGCCACCAATGGCGATTACTGGATGTTTGTCAGTTTGTTTCGTCTTATTGTGAATTTTGAAGGCCGTAGTCTTACGCAGCCGCCTCTCCGGTGGTGTCTCTAGGAACTTGTGCCAGGCCTTGTCGACCAGCCGGTTGACTTGCTCCTCCATCTCGAAGCCACTCGTACCCCACGGAGGAGCAGACCACGATTTATGAGCAAAGATCCCTCCCAAACAGGAACACAAGTAGTTAGTGGAGAAAAGACAGACTAGAATCCCGATAGAATCCCGCCTGAGATTTGTCTTGGTTTGTATGTTCAAGTTGAAACGGTCCCCTTGAGCGGTGCCGTTCGGCTTCCGGGGATGCGGGGCATGGTACTCCGAAAACTTCTCCACACAAGAGACAAACTTAGACTCATCAACCCAAAGTATCGCCATCCTCACCAATACGCCCAAGTCAGATCTGCATAGCCCACTTATGACAGGATACCAATCAAATCCCGGACAGGATCCCCCCAAAAACAGAATTTCCAAGCTTAATCAGAAGAGCCTTCGAATACATCCACCTCTCAAGTCACCTCTCATCAATAACAATATCCGACCTCTTCGAGGCGAATCAACTACCCCAAACTTGACTTTCACCAGACAGAAACAAAAATGGCAGACCCCCTCCTAGAAGGCGACGATTTCCTCGCCATGAACCTCTCAGACAGCGAACCAGAATGCCTCCCTCCCACCACCACCACTACCACTCTCTCCAACACATCCACATCCACATCCACAGCCACACAAAATGAAAAAAACACAGAAAAACCAGACAGAAAAGCCCTACCAGAGGAAGCCTTCCAAACCCTCAAAGCGACCTACCGCGCAAAAGTCGAGAACGGCGAGGTAATTCGCCCTCCTTCCCCCTCCGCCCCCCTAGCTGCTCACCATAAACCATACAACGGATCACAATACACTTAACTAACACAAAAAAACAGATCCACTCAAAAATCACACTCCCCCTCCAATCCCGCACAACCAAGCCCGAGGCGCAGGAAATCCTCCACGCCGTCGAGGAGCTATACTTCCTAACCCGTTACGACGAGGCCCTCTCCTTTATGCGGAGGGTATTCTCCCCCACCGAGGGAAAGGGTGAGACACATCTCGACGGGGAGGTGCAGAAACTTCTTCGGTACTATGAGGGTCGGTGTGCTTCACGACTCAGTTCTAGACTCCGTGGTGGTGGTGGTGGTGGTGGTGAGCACTCTGGGTCTGGGCAGGAGGGACATAATGGACATACACTTGTGTCAGAAAGTTGTGTTCCATCAGCACAGAATACAGCTTAAAATAAATCCGATTCACATCTTCACATCTTCACATCCTGAGTGTGATACGTGATGTATACTCATAAAACATACTCAGAAGAGTGTGGATGTATTTCTTTCCCGTCTAGAACTACACCAACGCACGCTACGCTCTCTTTCTCTATGCTCTATTCACAACACAACGCCCGCTCCATCACCGCGACGCGCTTTGTCTTTGTCGTTGCAAGAGAGAAAATCTATCCCCGCCTAACCACACACCCCATCATGAAAAACAAAGGGGGAGCTTCGAGCCATTGTCGTGACGTGCTTCGACCCCTTGAGAGTAGAAAGAAGTACAATTCGGAAAGGGGGGGGGGGGGGGTATTTCCTATGACTCCCAGACCAGTGGAGAAATTGGTACACCAAGTCTGGAAAATCAGAAAATGCAGAATGCCGCTTTTCCACCGTTGACGCCAGTTTAAAAAAAGAATCAAGCGCCGTCTAAATGCTCCGTCTCTAACCGTTGTATGATGAATCGACCCATTTTTTTCTTTCCCCGTAAACAGCCGGCCCAGAAGAAGGAAGGGCAGGCATATGCAACCGGAACCTCGGATTGTGTCCGTTCTCGTGATGAATCAAGCCGCCGTGAATCGTTGTTGTTGTAACGTACGGCCGGGCCGTCGGGATCCAGCTCATAGCATATCCGCCTCGGCGGCGGCACGGCGGATATTAGGTGCCTGCGCCATGATCATCATCATCTTCTCGCGCTCGCGCTCCTCGGCGAACACGCGCCTGCTCATCTCCAGCACGGCCTCGAAGCCCTCCTTGCCCTTGACCGCGTTCTCGCGGAACCGCTTGACCAGCGTGTCCTCGATGCTGTTCTTGATGCGCTGCCAGCCGCCGCACAGCGCCGTGATCTGCGCCTCCTGCGTGAACTGCGTCTGGTGCGCGTTGAGCGGCCGGTACACCACCGTCTCCTGCACGTTGATCAGGTTGCTCCACGTCAGGTTGGCCGACACCATCGTCACCGTCCGCCTGGCCGGGTCGACGTACGACGTCTCGAGCACCTGCGACTCCTCCATCGCGCCGCCCATCATCTTCTTGAGCCAGTCGGGCGCGCTCTGCCTGCACGTTATGAGTCTTTCCGTCCGCAGGATGCCCGTGTCTGGATCCACGCTCCGGCTGAGCGTGTCCACCGCCACCACGTGCGTCGACTTCTCATTCCATGGGCAGTACTTGCGCCAGTTGGCCGTCGACACCTCCTCCCATGAGTAGTTGAATGTCTCGGCGTTGGAGAACACCTTCATCTTGAGTCGTAGTTCCCTCGACGGGACGTACAGGCCGATGGGCCGCGGGCTTGTTGGTGTGGCTGTTTTGTGTGTTGTTCGCGGGTCGAACCGGATCTCCGATCGCGCTGCCGGAGTTTGTCTGTCGTTTTTGCTTCCCCGACGCGTGGAAGGGATACGCAGAAAACAAATCTGTTGCAACGACGAGACGGCCTTCGCGTTTCGTCGATATCGATAGGATAAAACGTGCTCTGTAGAGAGAATAGCTGAGCGAGAGTGAATTGGTATTTCCTCGACGAGGTGTTTTGCGGGTAGTCGGGATTTTGACTTTGTAGGCCGGAAGAGGAGGCCGTAGGATTGCCGAAGTGCGCTTTTTTAAGAGGACGAAGGGCAAAAGATTTCGACAACGCTCTGCGCCAATCACATGCATTGCATCGAACTTGGCGCGAAATCTTATCGGAGGGCCTGGAAAAGTGGGCCGAAAAGTGGCGACCCTTTGCTTTCACAAGCTCGCTTAGGTAAGTCAAAGGAGCGAAGGGGGAATGAAAAATTCTCGGAACGGGGTGGCCGGCAGTCCAATCACTTCCGAGGCATTCCTCCCGGGCGAACGCCGAAGATGTCATCCAGTTTTGGCTGACTTCATCGCCCAAGTCCTCCGAACCACCGGCCGTCATCGGCCCACATCGGAATGTCGATCATCCCGCCTTCGGCGCCGCCCTCCGTCATTTCACCAGAGCTGTGATGTTATCCGAATCCGGTGGAATTCGGCGACACCATTGGACCGTTTGCAACTACAGACTATTCGTCACGGCTTGAATGCATTATTCATGCGATCATCTACTCCGCAACGTCAAGGCTCTAGGGCAATCAGGACGGAGCTACGAATGTCGGGCCACACCTTCACGAGCCGGAACACAGCTGATAAAATTCAACTCATTTCGCTGCGAGATCCTAGTCTCAATCTGAGAAAAGCACCTTTCCATAACGTCGTGACCGTCGTAATGGAACCCTAGTAGTCATCTCCACGGCTGATAACCTCCTTGACAGTCGGCCGGATGAGAATAGTCTGGCGATGTTAGTGCCTGAGTCTCCTTCCAAGCAATAATTACTTACGTGCTCATATTGGGCCGTGTAAGAGCCCTTCTTATCCACGAGCGGCGGGTAGGCCTCGACAATCCCGTTGGAGACGAGGTTGTTCAACTGCAGCCAAGGTTAGCACCAACTCAGCACAGCCCAGCCCAACACATACCCCAAGCAGATACTTCTCTTGGCCCAGCCGGTCGAGGTATCGCCGGGCCCACGGGAGCGTGCCGAAATTCTTCTTGATCACATTCAACAGCGACTTGGCCGAAGAAAGCCGCAATTCCGCCTTCGGCGCATCGCCACGCAGTGCGTAGTGAGAGATCTCTCCATCATCACGCACGACGCCGAGGCCTGTGCTCCCAAATGTCTCAATAGCAAAGACATCC